CCAAGGCACCGAGATCCAACCCCCGTCCGGGGCTAGTAGCCCCTTCCAGCGGAGCGGAATGACCCAACGATCTCCCGTACGTAACACGTTACTGGCCAGACGACCAGCCAGTGACAATACGGATGTCCCGAGTTCAAATAACGTGGAGGATTCTGCAGGGTCACCAGCAGCACGCATAGAAAGCGGAAATGGGGCTGACTCTCAGAGAATCCAATCAATCGAGAACTCTACTGAAAAGTACAACGGCGCCCTCCGCATGATTGGGGAGAAGATTGGGGAACTGAGGAAGATGATGGATAGCCAGAGGCACGTGAATCAGCAAATGATAAACGTCCTGACCAGCATTTCGAAGCTCTTTGAAATCGTTGAGAGTAATGATCAAGAAAGAACCTCAGTTAGTACTTCAGTGAAATCGACTCAAACAGACCGGCCAGTCAAAGGTGATAAAACAGGGAAGAGGTCGGCGAACGAACCCACACCCGAGAACCGCCCACAACCGAAAGATAAACGCATTCGTGTCAACTCACCTCGAGCACAAGCAGAGAAAATGGATCGCCAAACTCGTAGCAGTGATCAACCAGCGATAACCAGTCGCTATGCTCCAACGCTACCACAGCCAACTTAAATATGGAGTGGACTAAGGTGAAACCGAAAAGACGGCAGAGAAAAAAGCCAACCCGCCCGGACGCCATTGTAGTCAAATCCTCTGGAGAGTGTTCTTATGCTGACATTTTGAAAATGGTAAAGAGCGAGGAAGGCCTGAAGGGTTTAAGCGAAACTGTGCGGAAGATCAGGAAAACAGCTAGTGGCGATCTCTTGTTTCAGCTGAATAAGTCTGAGGACGTAAATACTACGAAACTTCAAGAGGCAATCGAAGGAGTACTGGCAGGTAAAGCAGAAGTCAGGACCCTAACTGAAATGGTTCATATAGAGATACATGATATCGACGAAGTTACGACAAGCGAAGAGGTGTGCTTAGCTTTAAATGGTCAGGGTGGGTCCACTAAAGTGCTAGTATCCGATATCCGGTCGATGCGAAAAGCGTACGGAGGCACACAGACCGCAACCTTACTCCTACCCGAGAGCTTTGCCAATAAGCTAGTAGGCCAAGGTAAAATCAGAATTGGCTGGGTTATCTGCCGAATAAGACATAAAATACAGCCAAAGCGCTGCTACAAATGCTTTGAGTTCGGCCACATATCGAAGGGCTGTCGGAGCAGCGACGATTTTGGCAAACCGTGCTTCAAGTGCGGTCAAACTGGGCATACGGCCAAACTACGCACAAATGCACCACGGTGCTTATTATGCGTAAAACGCGGCAGCAATCCTACCAGCCACCAGGCAGGAGGCAACAAGTGTCCGGTATATCAACTGGCGCTAAGCAAACTAAAGGTATGATGAGACTTTTGCAGCTTAACCTCAACCACTGCCAAGCGGCGCAGGACCTCCTGTCGCAAACAATATTAGAGGAAAAAATCGATATTGCGATACTCAGTGAGCCATACAAACCGAAATCGTCTCAGTGCTGGCTTCAGGATCAAAGCGAAAAAGCGGCTCTCTGGTCATGCGGGAACCCAGCTCGCTGGATGCAGGGTGCCGTGTCCGCAAATGGCTTCATTGGTGCGGAAATCGGCAACTTGTACGTATACAGCTGCTACATTGCGCCAAGCATAAGTATACAGGTATTCGAAAATATACTGTTAAATCTAACAATTGATGCTAGAGGCAGGCAGAATGTTCTTATAGCAGCCGACTTCAACGCGTGGGCACAAGAGTGGGGATGCCGCAGTACAAGCCCAAGAGGGCGAGCTCTTCTGGAGGCTTTCGCTTGTTTGGACGTCGTTTTACTAAACACAGGAACTGAACACACTTTCAGCCGAAACGGTTTTGGGTCAATAATAGACCTGACCTTTATCAGTTCCGGGCTATATAGATTCAATGAATGGAAACATAGCACGTGTTATACGCAAAGTGATCATTCAGCTTTAATTTGCAATATCAACTGCATACGAAAACTGTCTAAGCGGACTCACAACCCCGGAGTATCGCACGGGTGGGAAAACAAGTACTTTCGTCCCCGAATCGTTTACCAGCATGCTACCATCCACCGTTTACCAAGGGTCAGCAGACTCCATGGCCGAACACCTAATGGCCGACATTCGCGCAGCTTCCATGCATCAATGGCCAGGAGAACTTCCTCCACGTATCGTCATGCGGTCTACTGGTGGAACGATAACATAGCGGACCTGCGAAAGAAATGTCTAAGATGTAGGCGAAATGCTCAGAGAGCTAGGGAAAGAGACAACTTCGTGGTATTTCGTGCGGCTTATAAGAGTGCACGCGACGCACTAAAGAAAGGAATTAAAGAAAGTAAACGGCAATGCTTCTTAGAGCTCTGCGATGATGCTGAACGGAATCCTTGGGGCTTGGCTTACAAAATTGTCTCAAAAAAGCTGAAAGGCAGAAACATGAACCCGACAAACGCTGCATACCTAAAGTCCGTCGTGGGGACACTATTTCCTGTGCAGAGACCGTTAGTGTCCACTATGGATGAGTGTTGTTGACCCTGTAACGGAAGAAGAAATCACACTCGCAACATCGAAGGTGGAAGTAAAGAAAGCTCCTGGCCCCAATGGCGTACCCAACATAGCTCTTAAGCTTGCAGTCCACCAGTGCGCTTCCTTATTCCTACAAGTTTTTAATGAGTGTTTCACGAATGGAACTTTCCCTCAAATCTGGAAGAGGCAAGCTGGTTTTAATACCAAAGCCGGGTAAACCTCTGGATGATCCCTCAAGTTTTCGGCTTATTTGTCTGCTAGACACAGCAGGTAAAATCTTGGAGCATATTATAGCTAAACGTCTCGACAGGGAAGTCCAAGAAAAAGGCGGTATATCGGCAAACCAATTCGGGTTTAGAAAAGGGAAATCCACTGTGAATGCGGTATCAGAAGTCATTAAGTTAGCACGGGATGCAACAAGCGGTACACGGTGGCTGGGAGGAGCAAAAGAATACTGCGTTATTTTTACCTTAGACGTAAAGAACGCGTTCAACTCTGCCAACTGGGCTAAAATACTCGATAGACTGGAGAGCATTGGCATTCCTTATTATCTTCGGAGACTAATACGAAGTTATTTCCATTCGCGAGTGTTGTGGTACGAAACGGAGGAGGGCCTGCAACGGGCTGAGATAACAGGTGGCGTTCCACAAGGATCCGTACTAGGACCCTTGCTATGGAACATTATGTATGATGGAGTTCTCCGTACCGAATTGCCTGAGGGATCATCCATAGTGGGGTTTGCAGACGACATTGCGGTAGTAGTGTCTGCGAAACTGCTTGATGTCATATGCGAAAAGGTAGCATCATCAGTCGGCGTGATTAATAGCTGGTTAAATAGCTTCGGCCTGAAGTTAGCCGAGCAAAAAACAGAAGCAATACTTATCTCGAGTCGTAAGAAACTAGAGGAGGTAGCGCTAAAAATTGGCGACCACACCATGACGACGAAACCCACAATTAAATACCTGGGAGTGGTGCTAGACAAGCGTCTTACTTTCAGCGCCCACCTGAGCTATGTGAGAGAGAAAGCAGCTTCAACTATCACGGGACTATCGCGAATAATGCTTAATACGCGAGGACCGAAACAGCGCAGGCGTTTACTCTTAGCGAGCGTGGTTAAAAGCAAAATACTGTATGCGGCCCCAATTTGGTCAAACGCCGCACAGTGTCCAGCATACTTCCGCGGAGTCAACTCAACATACCGTTTATGCGCGCTCCGAGTTTGCAGCGCCTTCAGAACAGTGTCGGACGAAGCAGCTTTCGTAATCGGCAGTATGATACCCGTAGATATACTAGCGAGAGAATCGACGGTCCTTGCATCCACGCGGCGTACTCTAACTCAATTAGACCGACATCAAGCCCGGCAAAGCAGCGTTACGGAGTGGCAAAACAGGTGGAATAGTACGACTAAAGGTCGTTGGACCTATCGCTGCATACCAAACCTGGTATCCTGGCTTAATAGAACGCATGGCGAAGTAGATTTTTATCTGAGCCAGTTCTTGAGTGGTCATGGCTGTTTTAAGGCATACCTGTTTAAATTCAAACATGAGCACGACCCCTACTGCGACTTCTGTCTAAGTGGCGTGGAAGAAGATGTCCACCACGTATTCTTTGAGTGCCCTCGTTTCCATCGGCAGATGAACCAACTTAAACTTGCCGTTGGAGGGATGTTTACGCCACAGTTAGTAGTCGACTATATGGTGAAAGGAACCAGCGAATGGGCATCAACCAGCGATACACTAACTTAGATTTTGAAGGAACTGAGGGACCTAGAGAGACAGCGGCGTACCAGCCGTGCTTAAGCCAACTCTTAGCATAGCCGCGGACTGGAACTAAACTATGATGTTCACCAACCAAAGCGTAGGCGCGGACTGGAACCTAGGCCGTTCCAGCCGCTCGAGCAGTGCGGCTTAGAAAGTTGTGCTTTCAGACCGCACCTTGAACATGAAGTCTAACAATTAAAGCGCATGCGCGGACTGGAACCTAGGGCGTTCCCCAAGTACTACGCACATGCATACATATGTACAACTCAGCATACATACATAATCACGCACATATTCAAGTACAACAAGAACTATTTCATTCATAAACGCATGCGCGTATTTCTCAAAGCCAAATAAATTCATTCATAACAACCGCAGCACATCTCCCCGCAAATTCATCACCTACAAGGGCAACTTTTTCAGTCCGACACAAAAATTCTAAAATCTAAAATTTAAGAAATCTCGGCCAGCAAAGTGAAAAGTGGCAACTATTTCTCTATATCCAGTAAAACTAGTTATCTCGAATTTTGATAATTTTTGACAAAACAATCTATTCCTCTGTTCCACAACAATATTTCAGTCATTAACTAGTATTTTAGGGTGTAATTTTAATTAACATTAAATAAAGTGAACGTTTTCTGCAGGAAAATACATTATTTTTTTTTTAATAAAATCAAAACTCCTAAATTCACAAACATATGTGGTTTTATCGGAAGTTCACAAATGTAACGTGGCAACTTTGCTCGTTTGCACATTTTTCGGTCCGAAATTGTAAAATTTTTGTCCATGACGCGCCACGATTTTTGTACAGGTGGGTCAATGTGCCCTGAACACCATTTGTATAATTGCAAAAAAATTCTATTTATTTTTGAATATTAAAAATTTCTAAACTTCACAACGTTTATAAAAATATATTTACATATATTCATGGATGATTTTTAATTTTTTTCACCCGTAAGCCAATCTTCAGTACCATAATAATATTCAACCACATCAAAGTACAAGATATGCTATGTCCAAGCTAGTGCTAGTCCACTGTATATGTCCATATGTGTGTCTGCATGTATGCGTGAAAATATGTCAACTCAAATTTGATTTTAACCAGTTTTAGCGGACATAGTTTTTTTCATTCGTGAAAGTTACACGCATCGTCCAGAACATGTTTACATGCAGAATTTTAAACGAAATATTATTATTCTCCATAAAAAATGTACGAGTATGGCTTTATTAAATGTTAACTTATACGAAAACCTAAATATTTCGTAACCTAGGGTTAATATTGTTGGCGTCGTGGCAATTCGCAGAAATTTAATAATTTGTCTGTGTATGGAGGACAGCGAGGGGAAGACGAAAGCAGATCAATCGTACATATGTATGCACATATTTACATTTATTAATGCATACATATTTATGCGTTTGTCTTTTTGGATGAATGAAGAATTTCATATATGTAGTAGTGATTTAGAGATTGGAATTTGAATAATGTACTGTGGCGCGTATGCTAGAGGCGGTGCAACTTTTTGGCATCTCGCCGTTTGTCTTGGTTCAAAACCCGGACGGACCAAGTAATAATTTTTGTTTTGTTTTTTTTTTTTAATTGTCAACTCCATATTCCATTTTAAATTTTACTATTCGCTTTGTTTAAAATATTATAAATGGATATGTAGGTACAAACGTAAATTCGCCAAAAGTTACAGAAAGCTTTATTGAAAATGTTTTCACTAAAATTTTAGTTATTGAAATTAAAATTTTATGCGAGTCCAATTTTTATTCCCACTTTTAGAAAGCAAGTATGTATATGTTCGTGCCACAAAAATTATTTCATATGTACTTAATTTTAAATACAAATATGTATGTACACTGGCAATCAAAAGTGAGTGCATCCTGCTTTTTGTTTAATATTTGCAATGTCTTTAAGTTAAACTTTTTTGTTATTTTCGACGGGTTTTGCGGTTTTATGCATATAACAAGTGCAATTTATAAAGAATAGCGCTAATTTTTATTTGTTTGCAAACGGTCATGTGCTTTTTATTCTACAAGAAATTCCCTTTTATTCGGTAAAAAGTGCAAAAGC